GGATTTGAATAAAACATTACTATATAAAGCATCATTCTTTAATGTAAATGTCAGCTATTGCTTAGAATCCACAGTGACATCTCTAAACTTCAGATTTGGCAGCTCAAAGTGACAAGTATCAGGATTTTTCTTAATACAGTTTGTGTTGTGCGCAAAATAAATGACAGCTCGGTATGGCTTGATTAGTAATTGAAAAGACCAAAAAAATTATTTATTTTAAAGTTATTATTTTAAAGTTTAGACCATAACCGTGAAAGGTAGGGAATCAAAACAATGTTTGACAGCGATTCAGTCGTTTTCCCCAGAAGATTAAAAGTTGGGAAGGTATTTCAGGCACAGTTCTATGACACAATATGTCATTTTAACAGACTGCTGTGTAAATCATCTTTTGTGAGCCCGTTAAAATATGCATGAGAAATCTGTAGTGTGCGGCTGTCGGAGGAAATTTGTACAAATCATCCCAACATTGAGGTCACATAGAAAGTTAGAAAAGAAGTCAAGAAATCTAAATTTCAATATTTTCTAAACTTCTCTGATGCTTCTCAGTGGAAAATAAAAATCCATCTTTTAGAACAAAAATGTAAGAGAAGTGCAAAACGCCTTCTGCAGCATCATATGAAAAAAACAAAACACAGTCATATTATTTCAGGCAATTCCTGTTTGACTCAAGGATTACAAGTTTAACAAAAACCAGATGGAGGTGTTGAAGTGGAAAAGGGCAAGAGTAGCAGACGTCGGGGACTCATTTCGCATTTCAGCTGTAGGCTACAGCACCCTGAGGCTAGATAAGAAAGCATGACAGACCTGAATGAACTCTAAATCTGCTGTCCTATCGTTTCCTATCCAATCACGTATCCTGACATATTGAAAGCTGTGGATTTTTTTGGGTCTAAACATGAGAAAATGTAAAACATCAAGTTTAATGCTTTTATATCAAAAATACATCCATAGAAAAAGAAAATTTTAAAAGGACAGACAGACAGACAGATCACATTCCAGCATGTGGCAGTTGAGTAAACGTTTATTATTACAGTCGGCACAGGCTTTCACTGGTGATCAAATTGTGCGTGCCCAAGTATGAAATGAGTAACAACGAGATTCTTGGGCTAATTTTTCCTGCCATTATGTCTTCCTTCTCTATCGAATTAAACATGGATGAAAATAGCATGACGAAGAAATTAATAACCAGAATGACAGAAGAAAATGAAGTAGAAAATAGATTTTTTTAAGCAATTAATTAGGGATTATATCCCTAATCAATTGTATTCTCTATCTAAGGCATGCTAATGACCTACTGGAGAATACATTGTAAGCAGAAGAGGACAGAACTTTCAGTTTTAACGTCCTTTTTTGGCAATCAAAAACTACACATGTAGTTTGTTTAGTTTTTTTTTCTCGTTAATTTGGAAAGAAAAAACATAATTACCTAAAATTTTACAAACACATCTTGCAATGGCTGCTATTTGAAAGTTCACATAAGTTATTTTATATTGAGTCACCTGCACCGATTTGAACTCTTTTACTAGCTTTTATCTACCTTCAGGGTAGATTATTTAGCCAAAGAAATGAATGAAGGCAATTAATTTTAAATGAAATAAAATAAAAATCAAAGCTATACTGGAGCCTCAAGGAGATGAAGAAACCATGAACTGACACCACTAACTGTCTACACACTAAAAAACTTAACCCTAAAAAACACAACAGCAGAGAGCACCATCTCATCCTAAATAGTTTTTCCCAAGATCACAATGAAAGCCTAATACCAATGAAGTCTATTTTCAAGCAGCAAAACAAATGGGTGCGACCTGGACTCTGCTTTCTCCAACTACTCCACCATGTTAGCTCCAACCTAAGATGAGAAAAAAGACAAAAGGCCATGTAAAAACATCCAACCAAGCTGCGGGTTCTTGGCAACAATAATCCACTCAGCAGTTTCTTGTGAAGAATGATTCTAACTGTTACTTACACTTTTAAAAGTTATAGAAAAAAAAACATGAACATATTAGTAACTGATTTATTATCGACTTATTTCGTAAGTTACCCTACTGAACAAACCAGCTCGAGTAGCAATAGCATTTCAGCTATTGCTACTCCATACAGAGAAGTGGCTTTGGCCACTTCTCTGTATTTTTTCCATGGATATTCGATAGGCCGATAATAGTACACATTGCTAAGAAGTCACCAGTCGCCATATTGCTACTCCCCAGTTAGACCAGTCGAAATATAAACAATACATGAGCTATAGCATCGAACAACAATGATTTTCTCATTTTTTGGGTGGTTAAGAGTTATAAAATAAAAATAATAACTTGCTGTTTCAGTAGAATCAGTAGATTACTGTCGTTTAAGATAAAATACCCAACACACAAACACACACACACACACACACTATCTGATGAGTTGCCAAAAGTGCTAAATTGATGAATTGATGATGTACATGTAATATACATGTATTTAAAAAACTGTTAAAAACAAACCACTGGACTTTGTTTTCCAAGTTTGAAAACAGTTTCCTTCCCATCATGCTTGGGATAAGCATGACAGAAAATGGATGGATGGATGGATGGATGGATGGATGGATGGATGGATGGATGGATGGATGGATGGATGGATGGATGGATGGATGGATGGATGGATATATTTGTATCCATCCATATATATATACAGTATATATATATATATATATATATATATACAGTATATATATATATATATATATATATATATATATATATATATATATATATATATATATATATATATATATATATATATATATATATATATACGTATTCCCACTCCCGAAAACTACTTGCTGTGGCAGCCAAATGCTACACACGTCGGCATGTTTATCAAGCAACTCCATGAGAGTAGGGAGTACCAAGATGACAGCAAGTGACTTCAGGTTTTCGGCCAATTGGATATCCAGTGATTAAATAAAGATCAGTGGGCCAAAGCACACCGGGCTAGCTTAAAAAAAGGCTACTTAACAACAATGAGAAGCTTGTAAAAGAAAGCTGAGTGTCACAGTCTTGATTTTGTAATGTTTTACTTAGCTCCATGTTTTCTAGTTTTATTGGTTTAATTCCTATTTTGTTGTATTTTCTGGATATATTTTAGTTCTCAGGTTTTTCTTTGTTGTCCTCTGTTGCCCTCTTGTGTGTGTTCCTTTACCCTTGGATTCCTCGTTGTCTCCACTCACACCTGCTCCTTATCAGCTCGTTAGCCCTGCCTTTGTTCAGTCGGCCATAAATACTTTCCTCTGCTCTCACTCTTTACTGGTTCCTTGTCGTGGCTGGTTCCTCCTTGCTGTTGTCTTCCTACCTCATCTGTCCCTGGCTCCTCATGCTCGTTTTCCCCTGATGTCTACATGGTTTTTGGTTTTTAACTTTTTTGTTGAATTTTTGGATTGCTGCCTCTGTTACCTGTGTTTACTTATTAAAACTGCAGGAAGTCACCTCTGCCTCTCAGCCTCTGCATTTGGGTCCTCAAACTTCAACTAAACCTTGACCCTGAGTATGTAACAAACCTTGCTTCATTCTGAAATGGTCAGTCGGTCTGGTTTCATCCGATGATGTCAAGGTCAGTTATTGGGCAGTGCGTGGTAAAGCATGCATGAATGTCAACCCAAGGTGTTGGGTAGTGCAAAATAAACCAACACAACATGATAGAAATTACAACCCAATGCCTTACAACTCCATGCCCAATAGAAATAACCAGGACAATTGTGTTCTCAGAATACTCAATTCAGTGGAAACAACTCAATTACATTAGCCAAAATGCTAAAACCAGCAGATGGTTACAAAAACAACCCAGCATTTCTTAGAGAGTAATGACTTGGGATAGTACGGTTAACCAGCTGTGCTGGTTAACCTTGTTTCACTTTTTCTTTTTTCTTTTTTTCCTACATTTTGGGATCTAGAGCCTTACACTGAGCTTTGATGTGTTTAGCCATGGGATTTGATAACTGGCTTTTAAGTTTAAGAGTGATGACTCAGTATAGTTCAGTTTTATTCGATTTATTGTCCTTGGCACAGATTTGCAAACAAGTGATCTTTTCAATTCACTTTCCAAAACAAAAAAGATATAGTTTATATATGAACATTTATGGTTAATCCCACCGATTAAAATATTGGTTACATTAACTTACATTTGAATTATATTATAAGAATATACAATCTTAAATTATATGGGATTCATATAAAGCATTTCACAACTGATCTTATTCCTTAGCATATTTTCTTAGTTAAATAATATTTCCTATAAATATGCACACTTTATCTTATATAAGGAATGCAACAATATAGCAACAAAGAGAGCAGCAATTAAATTAGAGATGTACTAATATTAGTTTTTGTCTAATTGAATGATCTTTTTGTTTTTACCTGAGGTCTGAGCTTGCTCTTGTAAATTTACATGATTAAATTTTTTCTTTGGATCATTCACTACACAAAAAAAGAAAGATATACTTCAGGATTTTTGAAAGCAGTAGTTTTGAATGTAACATAAATTGAAGGACATTTACAAGCACTATCCTAAATTGGGCATCAAATCAAAGGGCTTTTAAAAATAGTGGGAGATCTTACTGTTGACTAGTATAATGAATAGAAAAAAAACAACTTGTTTTTAGTCTTAGCTTGTAGTAAGACTGCCGTTTTCTGGTCCCCTGCCTATCAATAGACTAATCTCTAGTTTAGATAAAATAAGATAAATAAATCAGGAATATATTGATATAGGAACCAGTAAAATACAAACAGGAAAACAGCAACTTAAACACCAATGATACACAGAAGACAAGTGATTACATTCAGCCGAAAAAAACAAAAACAAAAGAAATTATTCAAACGGAAATCTGCCAAAATTTGAGCAAGAGTTGCCATAGATGTTGTTATAGCAGATTTTGGCCAAATAGTTTTGCAGTTAGATATTTTTCTTAGAATGTACAATAATACAATAATTCATAGATTTAGGCTGCAAATATATTTTCAAGTGTAGCATACCTGTTTTGGGGTTAATAGAGAAGAAGTTCTGTGGGTTCCCAGCAGAGATGCGGTAACTCAGGCGGGTGGGTGCGGCTGTAAGGTCAGGGTCCTGTGCTTGAATACGAATTACCGATACATCCTTGGGAGAGTTCTCCTTGATGACTGGGTGGTAGATAGGGTCTGAGGTGAGTGGAGCATTGTCATTGACATCTTCAACCTGATGGAAAAACAAAAAGATATCACAGTAATAGGAGAAACAGGCAGGAGACAAATACAAAGATTGCATATTGACTCGTTTAAGCATTGCTGTGTGTATTCCTTCTCTATAACCACTATATCTAGGTTCGAAATTGATGCGTTCTGAACTAAGCAGGTAAAGTTGATAAAACACAACCCCCTGAATCAGCAGAAACCAACGAAGAAAACGTATATGCAGATGTTAGCAGTGCTTGCTAATCAAAGGAGGCCAGGTCCGTGTTGATCTGTTATTAATCTTAGCATGGAAATGCATTTACCAGGAAACGTCATAGATGTCACACTTTAAAAGCACAGTGAATTAATTTGCCTCCTAACAGCATAGATCTGTAATATTTATGGCAAACACAGAGTTGATTGAGTGTTTGCTGAGAGGCACAGGGAGCCAAGACAGTTCAGTCGGTGAATGAGAAGCACCTGCTCCTGATTAATTTCTCAATTTTTGTCTGTGATGAAAAAGCCAGGAGTAAAGCATCCAATCAGATCACTGCACTCAAATACCCAAAGGCGAGAAAGGTATGCCTGTTTCTTAATATGCTTCTCACTTTGTACCCAAAGAGAGGGGGGGTATTTAGTGATGTATTCGACTGTTGAGACAACAGATTGTTTTGTAGCAGCATCAGAGGCAAAGGGGTCCAGAGTGTATTTGGTTGCTGAAAGGCAGAGTGCTCAGCGTAACACATGTGTAGTTTTTGGTTGCCGAGAATATTCAATAAAAAGCATGACCGGCAGCTATATGTTGACAAGCTGTGAATAACAATCATAGACATACATAGAACATGACCTTTTGACAGACCACTAACACATTTCTAGCAGGAAACAAGAAGAAACTTTAGAATGGGCACAAAATCTAAAGGTCTGAGGCAACTATTGGTTTCTTGGCAGCTCCCAAAATGCAGGAACAACAGACTGCTGAACTCCTTTTTTCCTCAAGCCATCGAGCTGTACAACCTCTAGCTTGGGGGAAGAAGGAGGTGATAGGAATAGGTACAAGGGTCAGCATCCCCCTCCTTGGATATCTTACTTAAAACATTGCCTATTGTCACTAACGTGCAACATTCTTTTCACTCAATATGGAATAACACATGTCAACTAATGTATAGCCTGTGTAATTTTTTTATTTCTATTTTTTTTTATTTTTTTACTTATTTACAAGGTCAGAACATCTCTGCAGTAAGTAAGTGCAATAATCCAAGCCAATTACTGTGTAGTCTTCCCTTAGCTCTCTAGTGTGCAGAATTTTAAAAATCTTACGGAAACATATTCCAGGACATTACTTTTATTTATTTTTTTATTTTTATGATTTTTTGGTACTATATACACCCTTTTTATATTGTGTCATATTTTTATCTTTAATGGCATCTGGCTTTAACTCTTTCTACTCTATATAAGCTACTGGAACCAGAATTTCTCTGAAGGAGTGATCCCAAGGGATAAATAAAGTTAAGTTTAAGTCTAAGTTTAGAGAATAAAAACAACAGGATAATTTGTGATCAAACACCATATGCCCAGTTTCCTGTACAGTGGGGAATCTGTGAAGCTGTTGAACTGTTTTCACTGTTTGCACTAAGAAAATTGTTGGAGAGTGCAGTTTTTAAAATCCCAAAACATTTAGGAAAAATATGCTGGTCATCACAAAGAAAATAAAAAGGTGATGTCACTTCAGAATAGCTATCATTTGGCCCAATAAATGTGGAAATGGTTTCCATCTAGTTAAACCTGCAGAATGAGTTGAAGAGGAATGTGAAGGAGCAGACATAAGAAAGCACTAAAATGAATGGTAGTAAAAAAAAAATCAGAGCTCCTGATCTTTGGATGATGCAAAATGAAATGTTTTAGAAGACAAGGTGCTGCACTATAGTAGGTTGAACACAGTATTACAACATGTGGTATAAATAGCTATACCACAGCTACTTTGTTCAGAAAACTTGCTTCTTAGGCCTGGAATTTTTTCGAATAAAAAATAAAAACGAAGTGAATATCACTCCTTAAATGATGAGCTAAAAGCAGAGGTGAAATTTCCCAACAGTGAGACTTTAAAGGGATCTTCCCTTTCCTTTGGTTCCGTTTTTTTGAGGGTTTAACTTATATTTGTCTAATATTTTAGTGTCCTATTATGCTATATTTTCAATAAAATACAGCAGAGAAACTCATTTTAAAGCTTAATAAGAGCCCATGTAATTTATACACATACCTGCACACAAATAGTTTATTATACTATATATATATATATATATATATATATATATATATATATATATATATATATATATATATATATATATGACATAAATACAGGTTGTGTTTTATTTGGATAACATCACATGTTTTGATGTTGAAAAAATGTGCAGGTAAAATCCAGATGCTTATATGAATGGGACACTTTATGCACTTTTATGTCGTGACCCTTTCACTAATGAGTCAGCTGGTACCGCATTGACAGTCAGTCAAGCAGAAAAGGTGAAGCTTCTGACATATTGATGTTACGATATCCGTTTTTTTTAGCTGCAGATGCATCCTTTTGCTACTTATGTTAAAGTGTACACTGTAGACATGCAATGATGTTGTGCCCTAAGCCTGTTGAAAAAAATTATGATTTACTTAAATAAAGATTTTGATTAATTGATTATTTGCATTTTCTGTCATTTTTTTTCATAATACTCTTTAAAAAGCTTAAGTCATTAAATAAATAACTGCTGAGTGTTCTTATTTTTTATTGTTATTACCATATAAGTTATCATAAGCTGCACCCCTCTGCTTGAGTTCTACCAAAGTATTCAAATTCAAAGGTAGTAAAGTTCAAGTTTTTTCTATAAAAAAAATAAATAAATAGCCCTATGTATGATTCTATTTTAGTTGAATGCCTTTCTATATTTTCATCATAAACTCAGAATGGTATAGAGAAATTGTAAAGAAAATCATAACATAACTATCTAGAATTGAAATGTCAGTTTATCAAACTAAAATCTGTGTGTATTTAGTCCAAATTATTAGAGGTAATAGCCTTACATTTTACAATATATATTTTTGTTTGAAACTTATCTGAAGCAATGAAGAGAGTAATCAGTACTTATTGTTCAGCTATATGACAGCATTAACTTATAGAGATTGCAAACAAATTTTGGGTAACAAATTAATAAAAAATAAGAAAAAATAAAAATTCTGGAACTTTTTAGGTTAAGCAGGACCAACAATTTAAGGTAACAGAGCTTACAACATTTTGTGAGCAATAGCTAAGTGTTGATAAATGATGCAAACATTTACATCTGTTGTATAGTTTATTTGTATTTATGTTGATCAAATGTCATATTTTAAATGGGCTTTTTCTTTAACTTCTGGCCTATCACTCTTATACCCAGAGGTGTCAAGTAACATAGTACAAATAATTTGTTACTTTACTTAAGTAGACATTATAATATAAAGGACTAATTATTTTTTAAGAAACCTTTTACTTCTACTCCTAAATTTTTTTTTTTGTAATTGTCTCTTCTTTATACTCCTTACATTTTCAAAATAGACTTGTTAGTTTTGTTTCATTTGAGCTCATTTTCTTCATGGCCCATTGGTCTTTAAAAAGAATACAAACCATGAAAATAATAAATAGTTTTTCAAGATGCTGGTGAAGATTCTCAGTGATCCCAGACATAGTCATTACAGAAAAGTAAAAAAAAAAAAAAAAACTGGACTTTGTTTTCCAAGTTTTGCTTCCCATCAAGTACGCTTTTTCAGTTCAAAATGTCTGAATTAGAGTTGAGTTAAAAGCTTTATAGAGTGGACCAAGTTTTCCAAGTTGATGCAAAGTTAAATTTGACACTGTTACCATTAGTTATAAAACTAAGAAACTTAAGTATATGGAAATTATCATCCAGAATTGTAAAAAGAAATAATAAATCCTTTAATGGGCTAGTGCAGTTAAGCTTCTGTCCTTAACATTTCTTTATGCATTCATTTTACTTTTATTCCTTAATTAATTTAAAAAATGCTTATTTTATACTTTAACTTGACTAGAAAGCTTAAGTTGACACTCTAACTTCTACAAAACTGTTTAAACAGTAGCATTTATACTTCTATTTGAGTAATAAACATTAATATTTTTTACACCTCGCCATATACCTACAAGTTCCAAACTGAATAGAGATCTTTTTTAAAGCAATATCACGTATGAAAAAAAAAAAAAAAACTCTTACAAAATGGCTGGAGTGGATTTTCAGATACAACCTGACTCTGAAACCTCCTTTCAATAAAAATAAATATTTAGTTCTCCACACAGATGTGGGTTCTTAACAGCAAAATAAGTCATAAAACTCCTACTCCATTTTTAAAAGCATATAAAAAAAGGATTTTTAGTTTCTCCCAAAATGCATTTTTTATATATATCCTTTTATTACTTTCTCTTGAACTTAGTATCGCCTTTCCTCTAAAAAAAAAAAGTTGATATATTGTCACACCCCTGCATTTCATATTAGGCAAGCACTATTCATCATGAAAATTGACAGTAAATCATCATTACCTGAATGAAGACTTCAACTGAAGCAGACATGGGTGCAGCCCCTCTATCTGTGGCATACACTGTGAGCCAGTAGGAGTTTTTGGTCTCACAATCCAAGGTGCCAGCAGTATAAATCACCCCTGTTGAAGAAAACAGAAACATTAATGCAGCCGTGACTTGGTTAGACAATGTCATTCCATGTCTTTAGGTGGGTGGAATGTAGATTGGGTATTATCAGAGGGATACATCTTTAAAAGGTCTCGTGGGAAAAGTCGTTGAATACTAAGTTTTTTATTGCAAAGAGACAAATTTAAACTTAACTCTGTGTCCTGGCTTCAGTGACATTCACAGGCATTAATGGCGCTCTGTAGTCACCTTCAATGTTTCAGCCTCTCTACATCTAATCACAGCTGACCAAACTGCTCCCACTGCTTTTTACTCAGCACTAAACGTACTCTTAACTGCCCTGCACCAAACAAAAAACACCCAGACACTCATGCACCCTGACTGAGGCCAGTTTAGTGGCCTTAAGGAAGATGAGTGGCTGACAGCTTTGGTGACCTCCTACCGGACAAAAAGAACACACACAATAAATGACATAAAGGACTCTTTTTTTATTTTTATACAACTGTCATGAGGCACTATTTAAACTTTGAAGAGTGACACAAAAACACCCGTGTCTTCATGAGCCAACCTAATCTTTTTTTAAAGTTCATATATAACATCCCACTTCAGCTGAGCAAGGTTATAAGTCTGAGTTTGTATAAATAGAACAAACTAAATACAACTTCTGGTAATATCTGAGAGCTTTCTCTACAAACAACATGAGCAAACATTACATTTTGAGAATTAATCTTTTCTTCCAGTCTCAGTTTTTGTACTGTTGTGCCAATAAAACTCTGCTTTCACACCCACAAACCTTCGCTTTCTGACAAATATGATTTGCTCTGCCTCTAATGCAAATATATTTATATTTTGCATCACCTTACTTGCAATGAACCTTCTGCTGAGGCTTGACCTATCATTATTTTTTTCCCTCTCTTGCAAAACTCATACAAATACTAAAAACCAGTTCACCACCGATTTAGCATTATGGGTGTAAAGTGAGTAATGCAAAACAGAGAGAATATTTCTTTGAGCAGCATTCAATCTTAGGACAAAAGGGCAGTTTTGAAAAGAGACAAGCCTATTTGTTAAAACAAGTTTTTCAAAGTTTAGATGTTTTATTATTATTCGATGCATATACAGTTATAATAAACTCAACACCACATGAATAAAGCATGAAATCAAAAGCTTTTGGAGGTTGGAACCTGCTGTCTTCGGACGTCTTTGTGTTATGAAGGATCAAGGAGGACCCCAAGGTTTCTTTATCTTCTTTAATGTCAAACTCACATTTCCACATTACATCCCATGGAACAGCTCAGCATGATCTCTCTCTACTCCTTCTGTGTTTTCTATTTTCTTTTGTCAATTCCCCTGGATATCCCTCCACATAAAAAAGTGTCATTACAGTACATTGCAAATAGTAAAAACAGCTTCAAACTTGCTCTAATAAAATTGAAGTGCTCCGGACCACTAGAAGGAGTCAAAGAAACAACAAATCATATCAGACCAGACCCTCCGTACAAACTGGAAATTAGGCTTTATCGCAGGATTTAAAAAAAGAAAGGAGAATTGTATCTTTCATTTAATTATCAAACACATAATAGTCTTACAATATTAGAGAATAAGAGCATACTTTCAATTTCAATTCAGTTTATTTATATAGCACCAATCCACAACATGTGTCATCTCAAGGCACTTTACAATTCAACCAGATCATGCAGTCAAATTGATTCAAAGTTTTCTGTCTAAGGAAAACCAGTTGATTGCATCGACTCATTGACTCAAAGGCAATCCCTCACCACCAAGCATGCTTGCAGCGACAGTGGAAAGGAAAAACTCCCTTTCAACAGAAAGAAACCCCCAGCAGAACCAGGCTCAGTGCTAGCGGCCATCTACCGAGGGAGGAGACCAAAGTAGACATAGTAAAAGTAGCAGAGAACAAAAGGCATAATGTATAGTAAAATAAGTAACACTCTGGTCCAATGTGGTGTCTTCTTTGTTCAACTGGTGCGGAACACTTACATTTTGTTTTGTTTTTTGGAGGGGGGGGTTAGATCGAATTTGCAGCTGTTTTTACAATTAGCATAATTTTCTGTGATTACAGCATTTTGTTTTGGTTTGCAGCATATTTTTGTTTGCATTTATTTTTCTGTTTGCATTTCAGACTTTGCATCATGCATTTGTTTGCAGCTGCATGTTTTTACCCATCTGCAGCTCACTTCTTTGTAGTTGCAGTATTTATTTTTTGCACTTGTTGTTTTGTGCTTGCATGTTTTGGAGTTTGCATGATTTTGCATCTCATTTTACGTGATACACATGTTTCTATACTCGGTCTGATGACTTTGTGTAGCCCTGACATTGGAGACTACACTACAATAAATATGATTTACTGGAGGGTTTTCAATAAAGATATGATAACTTTTGCAACGATCCTCGTGACTCTGCATTGTTTTTTATCTGATCTGGCAGTATATAGCACGAGTTTCCCATGTTTCTATGTGTTTTGCAGTTTTCAATCAGTTTTCACCTGTCAAAAATTGATTGAAGGCACAGTATAGTCACTCAAAGGTTATTTCTACCTAAATATGACTAGATTTCCTTCAGGAGATGCATGATTTAAAGATCTGAGCTCACAAAACAGCTTGGAACTCTTTTAAAGAACCATTACAACACAAAATAGCCATCAAACAATGCAGAGTCACGAGCAAAAGTTATCATATCTTTATTGAAAACCCTCCAGTAAATCATATTTATTGTAGTGTAGTCTCCAATGTCAGGGCTACACAAAGTCATCAGACCGAGTATAGAAACATGTCGATCACGTAACTGCCGTTATGTGACAAACGTTAAGCTGTCGAATCTTTAATTAGGCCTATATTATAATTTAATTAGGCCTATATTATAATGCAACTGTGTGTATCTGCATGTCATGACCGTTTAATCCAGAGAAAAGCAGGTTTACGCTATCGCTCAGCGGGCTGCGGTGCGCACTCCCGCGAGTGCAATCAGATTCTCGCAGACATTCACTTTTTCGCACAGCACCGGCATCAAAGTATTGCTTAATAGCAGCGTGTACCTCGTCATTTGTGGCGCTCATGATTTGGAAAAATGGAAACAAACCCCGTCTTTCCGGTTCAAAGGACGGACCAGTTGTTTTGTCCAATCAGAGATGATTCCTGTCGCCCGAGGGTACCTAGCATTTCCGTTTTGGTTAATGTCGCTGTGTTTTCTCTTTTTGTGTTGTGTTTTCTGATTTGCCATTGTGTTTTCTCTTTTTGTGTTGTGTTTTCTCTTTTTGTGTTGTGTTTTCTGATTTGCCGTTGTGTTTTCTCTTTTTGTGTTGTGTTTTCTCTTTTTGTGTTGGGTTTTCTGATTTACCGTTGTGTTTTCTCTTTTTGTGTTGTGTTTTCTGATTTACCGTTGTGTTTTCTCTTTTTGTGTTGTGCTTTCTCTTTTTGAGTTGTGTTTTCTGATTTGCCGTTGTGTTTTCTCTTTTTGTGTTGTGTTTTCTCTTTTTGTGTTGTGTTTTCTGATTTGCCGTTTTGTTTTCTCTTTTTGTGTTGTGCTTTCTCTTTTTGTGTTGTGTTTTCTGATTTGCCGTTGTGTTTTCTCTTTTTGTGTTGTGTTTTCTCTTTTTGTGTTGTGTTTTCTGATTTGCCGTTGTGTTTTCTCTTTTTGTGTTGTGCTTTCTCTTTTTGTGTTGTGTTTTCTGATTTGCCGTTGTGTTTTCTCTTTTTGTGTTGTGTTTTCTCTTTTTGTGTTGGGTTTTCTGATTTACCGTTGTGTTTTCTCTTTTTGTGTTGTGCTTTCTCTTTTTGAGTTGTGTTTTCTGATTTGCCGTTGTGTTTTCTCTTTTTGTGTTGTGTTTTCTCTTTTTGTGTTGTGTTTTCTGATTTGCCGTTTTGTTTTCTCTTTTTGTGTTGTGCTTTCTCTTTTTGTGTTGTGTTTTCTGATTTGCCGTTGTGTTTTCTCTTTTTGTGTTGTGTTTTCTCTTTTTGTGTTGTGTTTTCTGATTTGCCGTTGTGTTTTCTCTTTTTGTGTTGTGCTTTCTCTTTTTGTGTTGTGTTTTCTGATTTGCCGTTGTGTTTTCTCTTTTTGTGTTGTGTTTTCTCTTTTTGTGTTGGGTTTTCTGATTTACCGTTGTGTTTTCTTTTTTTGTGTTGTGTTTTCTCTTTTTGTGTTGTGTTTTCTGATTTGCCGTTGTGTTTTCTCTTTTTGTGTTGTGTTTTCTCTTTTTGTGTTGTGTTTTGCACCTCAGGGCCCCCGTACATCAAGGGGGAACGCGATGTGAAGTTTTTTAACAGGGCATTCAGATCTGGTGAGTATATGAAATTAATAACTGGGGATGTCTAATTCTGAAATCCTGTGTGTTTGGGTTGTTATAGATACTGCAACATCTATCTATCCATCTGTCTATCTAGATGTATACTCTGTGTGTGACATAAAATATGGATCTCTATCCCTGCCACAAAGGCCATCAAATAATGTTTAAAATAAAAAATACAGTAGGTTGAAAAGGCAGAGTATCCATCCATCCATCCATCCATCCATCCATCCATCCATCCATCCATCCATCCATCCATCCATCCATCCATCCATCCATCCAGATTTCTCCCTTTCTCCATATAGGCTATCATTTGATCGTTCACGCTCTCCATAGTTCTCCTGTGGCGCGAGCACAGGGCGACTGTTGCGCACCTTTAGCGAGCATGCGCCTTTGCTGTCGCTTGCGCGGTGAATCGTGCCGCCTGCGCTGTGCGGAGATGCAGGGGAAACCGTATCTGATGGGGAAACGCAGCTCGACGTCACACCGGTATTTCCATCTGGAAAACGCTGTTTTGCTGCTGGAGTCATCCTCACTCTCCATCTCTCTGTGCGTGCTGTACGTTAACACCCGCCAGCAGAAGCACCCACCTACCCAACTGACAGATGGAATCTCACTATACATCAGCCATTCTCATCCTCCCCTCTCTCATGACAAGGCGCGCACGAGTCTTATCATGAAAAAAGGTTAATTGTGCGACCTGAGTAACGC